ACAAAGCGAAAGAATACAGGATTAAGTTTTGGAAGTTTCGGTACTAGTAACGGGCTCGACGAAAATATTGACTTACTGACGGACATCAGTGCGTCTCTGATGCATTCCTGTAGTTTAGCGAAATGGCTGAATTATACTGACTTAATCAATGCTGCATTTAATTTTTCGTTTTCTTTTGTAAATATTGGTGTTTCGTATTCTGTAAGGTAGCATCGACGAATGACGGATGAAATGTTTTCCCCTGTCAATGAGTTCGCCACTACGTCACTTGGATGATTGACGGACTGACGTCAATGACGGATTAAGCTAATGGCAATGAATGACGGAGCTACCGATTCATTGACGGAGTGACGGATGAATAAGGCGTGTATGCTTCAGGGCTACCTCATACGTCAGTACGTCAGTGAGTTCGTCACTCCGTCAATGAGTTCGTCACTCCGTCAATGAGTTCGTCACTCCGTCAGTGAGTTCGCCACTCCGTCAATGAGTTCGCCACTCCGTCACTTGGATGATTGGCGGACTGACGCAAATGACGGATTAAGCCAATGGCAATGAATGACGGAGCTACCGATTCATTGACGGAGTGACGGATGAATAAGGCGTGTATGCTTCAGGGCTACCTCATACGTCAGTGAGTTCGTCACTCCGTCAATGAGTTCGTCACTCCGTCAATGAGTTCCTCACTCCGTCAGTGAGTTCGCCACTACGTCAATGAGTTCGCCACTCCGTCACTTGGATGATTGACGGACTGACGCAAATGACGGATTAAGCCAATGGCAATGAATGACGGAGCTACCGATTCATTGACGGAGTGACGGATGAATAAGGCGTGTATGCTTCAGGGCTACCTCATACGTCAGTACGTTAGTGAGTTCGTCACTCCGTCAATGAGTTCGTCACTCCGTCAATGAGTTCGTCACTCCGTCAGTGAGTTCGCCACTACGTCAATGAGTTCGCCACTACGTCACTTGGATGATTGACGGACTGACGCAAATGACGGATTAAGCCAATGGCAATGAATAACGGAGCTACCGATTCATTGACGGAGTGACGGATGAATAAGGCGTGTATGTCTAGGGGCTACCTCATACGTCAGTACGTCAGTGAATTCGTCACTCCGTCAATGAGTTCGTCACTCCGTCAAAGAGTTCGCCACTCCGTCAATGAGTTCGCCACTCCGTCACTTGGATGATTGACGGACTGACGCCAATGACGGATAAAGCTAATGACGGACTGACGGGAATGATGGATCCATTGACACCAATGCCGGAGCGACGCATGAAGAAGCGCCCTACATAGAGCCCTGTAATTTTGTAAGGTAGCATCGACGAATGACGGATGACGGATGAAATGTTTTCCCCTGTCTAGGGCTACCTCATACGTCACTCCGTCAGTGAGTTCGTCACTCCGTCAAAGAGTTCGTCACTCCGTCAATGAGTTCGCCACTCCGTCAATGAGTTCGCCACTCCGACAAGGAGTTTGCCACTCCGTCACTTGGATGATTGACGGACTGACGCCAATGACGGAGTGACAGAATCATTGACGGATGAATAAGGTGTGTATAAGCCCTGGATTATGTTATACCAAACTACGTCAATCCGTCACTGGGATGATTTGCGGACTGACGTCAATGACGGATTGAGCCAATAACGCAGTAACGCAGTGATGGATGAATTAGCTGTGTATCAGCCCTGGACTACTTCATACGTCATTACGTCAATGAGTTTATTTTAAGAAACGTTAGTATTCATCATTTTGTAAGGTAGCATCGACGTACGTCTTTCTAAAAATTTCATTTTGATTTCGTTTTGTGATTATAATTCATTAATATTACATTTTTTGTTCGGTAGCATTGACGATCGACGTTATGACGGAATCACTGACATGAGTGGCGAACTCATTGACAGAGTGACGAACTCACTGACGGAGTGACGGGTGAGGTAGAATTGATTGACAATTGTTGGTAGGAACGGGTTAAGTCGAGTTATGAGAATTTAACTCCACCTTGTAGCTTCCTAAAAACGTCATCTGGGAGTGGAATAGGATAAGATGGTACATTCAACTGAGGATTTACAGTAATTGCATAATCCCCACAGGACCTTGTAGAACCACCAGGGATATGGACCATTGGTGTACCCCAATCGCTATAGTCTACCTTCTCAATAAAACCTTCACTCCCAAATCGTTAAAGTTGTTTATCAACTGCAGGTTGTAATGCATAAGGAACTGGGCGAGCACGAAAAATTGTTGGTGTAACCCAAACCTTAACATTAAGCGTTGCCTTGATACCCTGAGTGTCCAGTCTTGGGTATTTCTGGATAATATTGGACTTTAAAAATATTTTGCCAGTCTAACTTGACTTTGGAAAGTAAGTCTTTGCCAATAAGTGATGGACCAGAACCTTGAACTACTATAATCGCATTTCTTACGGTCTGGTTTCTATAGGTGATGTTCTAAAACTAGTATGAACTATGTAAAATCTTCTGAGTGCGAACCTGTTTATGAATAACCGTTTGACGAGTTATAAAGTTATAAAAGACGTAAAATTTTTGAAGTCCTCTGTTGTTATTCATGAACATATTTTTTGGTTTAAATACATTAAAAATAGATGGGGGTTGGGAATATGGAATAATTTCAAATTTGATTTGAATTTGTTTTATCAATCTACCAAGCTTGCCAGGCAATGTAATGTACGCCCACTGATTTTAAACAAAAGTAAGTTTACAGTCACAACTAGAACTTTTCCCTTAACAGTGCTGATGCAGAGCGTGTTACAACAGAAAGGTACATACGAAGGTGGACAAAAAGAAGAAAGTTGGTTATGCGCATACCACAAATTGAGTATTTCCATCAAATTCAGAATTTGATTATATATTTGCATACCAACTTTGATGGAATTGTGAAAGAAATACGAAAGTTGGGAAATTAAGTGGGGCGTATACCTTTAAGGTGCTTTCGTAAGCTCAACTTACACTATAACACGTTTGACCTGTTTTATACCGGTTTATATTGTTAATATGGCCTGATCGTGATATATGATATATATTTGTATTCAGATAACATCATCTACACAATTTAACTTGCAACAATTTAACAAGTAACTTAATATTTGAAATGTTTTATTCATGATGTTTAAAACTGGGAGATAATTATTTATTTTTATGCTGAACTTAAAGTTTCAAGATCATAATTTTGATTCAAAAACCAGTTAAAAGCATACTTAAATATATTTCAATATTGTGATATCAACTTGAATCATTATCGCCCAGCCCTAGGCTGTTTTTAATTATTTTAAGGACCCAAGATCCAGTAGAACATTTTTTCTCTAATCCAAAACATAATTGACAGTCAATTCTGGTTCTCGTGTGTCAAGAATTATCCGCATTTGAAAATTACGACTTATTCTTGAGACTCTGCCACATATAATAGAAATTCCTTGTTTTATGTATTTTTCAAGGAATTATGCATTTATAATGCAGTTCTTGTACTTCTGATGACTATTTACAAATTTAGAAGACACAAATCAACCCCCGAAAATTACCTTTAAAGTGATAGGAATACTCTCTCAATTTCCAACTCGCTCCACAACTCAAAAATAAAAAACAAGAATGATAAAGAAATACATAAGAGTATTTTATAATAACTATCAATTCAATGAGTGAAATAACAATTTCTTATACTAATCTTTCAAATATTAAAAATTTTAACCAATACAATACAATTCCATTGTCCTAATAATTTGTTCACAAGTGAAATAACTTACAAGCAATGAAGTTTCCTAAACACAGTGAACAGTTGGAAACTTTAAGAAACTTTATGACGAGAAGAAAAGGCTCAAATCTATCAAATTCACAAGCAGATTCAAAGACATTAAAAGCAGTCAAATGATAACAGTGGCATGTGAAGTAAAAATGTGTTTATAAAATATATACATTTTGTAATAAATATTTACACAAAACTTAGACATCACAAAATTTAAAACTACCTAGAATGAAATCTGTCCCTTAAATAGAGGCCATGTTATGAAACTAAGATCTTGTCGTAAGTATATTTTTAAATCTATTGTGTCAAACAAGAAAAAAAAGGCTTGGAATTAATGTTCGATCATTATCTTAGAAATTATATTTAGACCCAACTCAAAAGGCTTTGACCTTCCAAAAAGGCGATAAAATTATTTTCGTAATGGATATGCCACCAACAAAGCAAAACTCAGTGGTGTTGTTTTTTTTTAATTTGCCTCAAGTTGTTTTGAAGATATACTTATTACAAAACTAGATAAAAATCGCGTAACAATGGCCTCTAAATATTATGTTTGACATTACATATATGTTTTAAAGATAGAAAGATACAGAGCACTTTATAAAAAGCTATCACACCATTCTTTTAAACATGTGTGGCAATCTTTCTGTTGTTTAGCATTGGCACCACATGAATCTTTTAACCAAGCTTTAAATAAATCTTCATCTTTCTTGAGTAACAAAAACTGACCCAACACAACATAGGCCTGAAAAAATACACATTCATTATTCATAATATGTAAGCCTATATCATAAAAACATTTTCCAAACATAAACTATTATTACCTGCGTAAATGAGAAAATAGGATGGAATGTATTCCCTTCGTTAACAAGTATAGCAAAATAAATTTTCAGTATATCAAGGGCAGTCCCCTATCTGTGTCAAATCATACCAAAAATCTAATTTGTGCAAGATATTGTAGATTTAAACAAACACACATTATTTAATAAAATTCTGACATAAACTGTCACCTCTATCGCTAACAAATTTTGATGAGTTTTTACTAAGTCAAGGGCAAAAACTCAAATTCTGTGATCGAAAATTGTCAAGTTCAATCTTGACTAAGATCTCGTCCTTATAAATGATCATATTAAATTTCATTTAAATCGGATGAATTTTATTTAATTCGGATGAAAAACTGTACTCTCTCTTGTGTTCAGAAACAAATTTTGATGCGTTTTTCATAAATAAAGGGCAATAACTCATAAACCGATTGAAAGATAGCAAAATTCGAACTTGTCCAAGATCTCATCATTAAATGTACTCACACCAAATTTCATTGAAATTGGATGAAAACAGTAGTATCTGTTGTGTTTACAACCAAATTTTGACGCATTTTTCATAAATCAAGGGCAATAACTCAAAAAACGTTCATCGAAAGATAGCCATATTCGAATTTGTCCTAGATCTCATTATAAATATTCACACCAAATTTCATTGAAATTGGATGAAAACTGTAGACTCTATTGTGTTCACAACCAAATTTTGACACATTTTTCAAAACTGGGAGCAATAACGTAAAAACCGTCCATCAAAAGATTGTCAATTTCGAACTTGTCCAAGATCTCATGAATATAAATGATCACACCAAACTTCATTCAAATCAGATAAATACTCTTGTCTCTCATGCGTTCACAAGCCAATTGTGGACCGACGGACGGACAGGGGCGACAACAATATACCACCACATTATAATGTGGACGTATAAAAAATACCAGCTGAAAATGGGTATTTATAATCTTGGAAAGATCAATGCTAAAGAATAAAGATGTTTTGCCATTGTAGCTGGTAGAAAGGATTCTCATGGACATTTAGGTTTTCCGTGTAATAACAAGGGTTGTTTCTTTCTTAAAAATCTGATCAGTTGAACCTCTTCAATTCTTCATAAGGAATGGTACAAAGAGTCAAAGATGACACAAAGTGTGTTTATGGCTAAGCCTATATCAGGCAATTTAGTTAGTAACCGTATCCTTTAGTATTAAAAATGCACTTAAATACAGTAGTATATTTAGGCAGTAACACTTGAGTCATGTCCCTCCTGTAATGTTCAATAATATTTAGATTGCTTGTAATATCAGCTGTAAGGCCAAGCTATGTAGTGATAGGATGCTAAGAGTTATCTCCCATTAAGTATCATTATTATGTGAACCAACATGGCTGACTGTTAAATAAACAGTCATTAATCAGAGGACATATCTGTCTTTATTTATTAGGTTTATCAACAATCACACCTTTAGGCAAATAGGTCCTATTTAGAAGTGAAAATGAAGCCCTTTAAATTTTCAAATAAGATCTCAGGCCATATGAAAACCAGACCTCAAGATTCTTCAGCATTTCGTGCCCTTCTTGGAGAAACATCTTTCAATTTTGGCCTCCCCATCAGACATTTTCTAGATACGCCCCTGCTTAAATACTATTTGCATGAGTTACTGGTATGCTCCTCACCTTATCAAAGCCATCATCTGATAATCTTTTACCCAATGTGTCCCCAATTCCTGACAATTCGGTGACTGATTTTTCACCCATCGGCTCCGCTACAAAATTTCTATGTTTTTGTGATGTTGAAGACATTTTCTTTTAATACTACCTGCAATGAAATGATAACCTTTGCATTACTTGTTGAATATGTAATTTACCATAATTATGGACTGGAACTACAAGAAACATGCACATTATTAACCTTATAGTAAAATAATTCATTTCCTGCTTTAAAGGGTCAGGTGTGCCATTTTTTTACCTTAGCCAACTAGTAATAGTGTTCATAGCTAGCGTTCATAGCCTTCAAATGCATGTGTGTTGAGAATTATCCGTGTTTGAAAGTTAAAAAGATGAGTCGTCTTTACTTGAGACAGTGCCATATATTCAAGGCATCTAAGCTTATAGAAATAGGAAAAGAAATTCATAGTTTGAGATATTTTAAAAGGAATTATGCAATTTTCATAATTTTCTAGTACTTCTGAAGATTATTTACATAAATACAGTATTCAAAACTGGCCCACCTGTCCTTTTAGGTTTATGATAGATCTAAAAAAAATCTTTGTTTTAGGTTCTTGAAATGCTGAAAGTGAAACTGAAAGTGAAAGAGACACCTGGTGGTAGCTTGACAGTTCAAGGTCTATCAGTAGAATGTTATAATCATAATACTAAGAATCAATTAGGCCTTTACCAATAATACTTTTGGTAATATAAGTGGGGTGGGGGAGTAAGGATTATCAAGCAACTCCCATATGATTTTTGATACTGATAGTAGGCTAATCACATTCAATAAGTCTAGGCCTACTTTATAGAATGAATCGTGATTCATCAATTCCATTCCATTGATACATTTTATAAATAGAACACACTTTTTTTCGCGCTCCGGCTCTGACGGATTTCCAAATATAATCCATAAATATAATCTATAATTTCTGCGTGTGTTAGCTCTACTTACCGAATAAATCTATTGAATAGAACTGTGTAATCTTTATTTATAATGTTTTCCTCTACAAGAACGTTTCTTTTATTCGAATAGAACTTTGGCGGGAAGTGACGGTTTGTGAATTGCTTCCGGGATATTTCGACCTATCAGTATGATTCGTATTAAATACGAAACACTTAAAAATAATTCAATGCCATTTTTATGCAAATGTAAATTATTATATCCTGTAACTGTATTACTGTGATAATCTGGACAATTACAATCTATATCATACATGGGCGGATAAAAAAATGTACCCCCTGAGAAGCCATTATGATACGAAACATCTCAAGAAGTTACGAAACATCCCCTTTTACCAATAATGTCTGGATAACCGAAGCTTTATTTCACCACGCCCTTTCAGGGGAGTTAATTTGACAACTTTAGAGAAAAACAAAGTCGTGACTGTGTTGTGAAAAGGGAAGTTCAAAGTTGATAGCATTAATTTAAGAAGGAAGAAACTGAATAAGTTCATATTTTGTATTTGGAATATGTTTATGAGAATGTTATGAGCGCCATGCCAGAAATTAACAGGAGATCGTCTAATGATTGGACATCTACAATCCAATTTCATGGCACCTTGCTAAAGCGACCATTTGGCCACCAATCAAGCAAATGGTCTCGCAGGTGAGTATTTGTTTACATTTTATAAAACACACATTTTATATATAGGTTTGTGTAATGTGCATTAGTGGGTTGTATTTTTAGTATTGACAATTTCACCTAGAGGCCTAGTATAGTAAAGCTGTCATTAATTTGTGTGTACTGGCCAACTTGTTTTGCACCTTGGACTGGTGCAGATAATTGCAATTATTATGATTAGTGATTAAGGAAGTTTAGAATTAGATCGGTAGCTTATCTTGATAGTTTTCAATTGAAAGGTTATCATTTATTTACCACTATAAGCTTTTATCTTAAGTTAACATATTCAATTTCTCTGTCACTTCTCCAAAGGCTCGACAAAATTCCCTAAAGTTATATCTATAGGCTTTTAAATAAATCTATAGCCTGGATAAAAAGTTCATGCCTATCAACTTTAGTTAAAATGTGACTGACAGTTGTAAATGTCACTTTTAATGGGTATCCTTTTGTATTTATTTTGTAAAAGTTGATGATCAGCCTAATGCATATCCTGTAGAACTGTAGAAATATTCAAATTACGAACCAATTGCCAATTATGACTTGTTAGAGCCTTGATAAAATAACAGAATGATTATTGAAGGATGATATTCGATCCAGCAATATTTCTGAAATAGATTTTAAAATTTTTGTTGAAATTTAAAATATTTTTAACAATCGTTGTACCAGTATTTTTCAAATACAATGTCCCTGAGCATTGAAATAATAAATTTACAGAAGATTTGTTTTTAAGCTTACCAGTATGATTAGATAAAATCAGTTTGGGTGGAATTTGTTATATATTGTCATCATTTCAATTTAAAAAGTGTTATGGGGTTTGCAAATATGAAGTACTTCTGTATGTCATAGCCAAAATTGAGAAAAATCTTGTGTTTATTGAGTAGACAAGCCTCATACCGCGTTTGTAAAAATTTATATTGTAGAAACATTAGGTAAGAGGGCCGAGTAGAGGGCCACAAAAGTTTCAATTCCATCACTGCTGGTATGTAAAATGATTTGTTCTATTTTGTACACTTGATAATGTGTGGAACCAGTGGAATCTTGTTGAAACATTGTATATAAGAAATAAAGACTGGTATTCAAATACCAGCATAGTAGTTGAAATATTGAGAAGGCTTGAGAATGTATTTGATGTATGAGCTTACATGTATATCTAGTTATTAAACCTTATCATCCCTACTCTAGCTAGTAGAATATTAGTTTATGACCACCATACTATTTCAGTATTTATTGACCTATATTTACTATGGTATATCATTATATA